ATGTAGGTCCTTGCCTTTCATGACTTGGAATACTTCTTTCCAGCCCCTTCTTGCCTGCAAGATCTCTTTTGAGAAATCAGCTGACAGTCTGATGGGAACTCCTTTGTAGGTAACTGTCTCCTTTTCTCTTGCTGCTTTTAAGATTCTCTCCTTCTCTTTAATCTTGGCTAATGTAATGATGATGTGCCTTGGTGTGTTCCTCCTTGAGTCCAACTTCTTTAGGACTCTCTGAGCTTCCTGGACTTCCTGGAAGTCTATTTCCTTTGCCAGATTGGGGAAGTTCTCCTTCATTATGTTTTCAAATAAATTTTCAATTACTCGTTCTTCCTCTTCTCCTTCTGGCACCCCTATGATTCAGATGTTGGAACTTTTAAAGATGTCCTGGAGGTTCCTAGGCCTCTCCTTAGTTTTTTTTTAATTCTTGTTTCTTCATTCTGTTCTGATTGAATCCTTATTTCTTCCTTCTGGTCCAAACCGTTCTTTTGAGTCACAGTTTCCTTCCCATCACTGTTGGTTCCCTGTACATTTTCCTTTATTTCACTTAGTGTAGCCTTCACTTTTTCATCTACTTTGCAACCATGTTCAACCAATTCAGTGAGCATCCTGATTACCAGTGTTTTGAACTGTGCATCTGATCGGTCGGCTATCTCTTCATTGCCTAGTTGCATTTTTCCTAGAGCTTTGATCTATTCTTTCATTTGGGCTTTTTTTTTTTTTTTGCCTCAGTAGGCCTGTTACATATTAAGGGGCAGAGCCTTGGGTGTTCACCAGGGTAGGGCAACCCACATCCACGTCACTGGGTTGTGACGCTGTATGTGGGGGAGGGGTCCAAGAGGGAACAATGGTACTTGCTCCGCTCTCTGCCAGATTTCAGTCACTTCCTCTGCTTCCCACAAGCAAAGTGGCCCTTCTGGTGCTGATTCCAAGGTGGGTGGGTGGGCTTGTGCACGTTCTAGGACCCCATGGGTCTCTCCAACAACCTCTCCTGTGAGGCTGGGAGTTTCTCCCACTGCCACCTCAACCCCCACAGGTGTTTTCAATTAGGGGTTTGAGGCTTTATTTCCCAGTGCTGGGGCCCTGGGTTGCACATGTCTCGTTCCCCAGTTGTTCCTCCTGGTTTATCCACACTCGAACGTGGGACCGCCTGGTCTGCAAGCCGCCACCTTGCTGCGTGTCCTCTCCGCCCAGCTGCCCATCTCTGCCCTTTCCACCGGTCTGGATACATGTTTCTTCTTTAACTCCTCGGTTGTCGGACTTCCATGCAGTTCGATTTTCTGGCAGTTCTGGCTGCTTTTTGTTTTTAAATGTGTTGTTGTCCTTCTTTTGGTTGTGCAAGGAGGCACAGTGTGTCTACCTATGCCTCCATGTTGGCCAGAAGCCTAGAACAGCCTTCTGGCGTTGCGAGGGAGACAGACCCAGGTGGGCGCTCTGCACAGAGGGCCACCAAGGACCTCGCAGAAGGAGGAAACAGGGCGGGTGGGTGTCAAGAACAAGGTCCCCTCCAGTCCAAACCAACAAGGGGGTGACAATTGGGAGTGGTGTGAAGAACCTGGAAGACACAATTATCCAGGCAGGATGATCCGGGTGAGAGAGACCATCAGGGTGACAAGCGACAGGAGAGGAGAAAGGCTGTCCCAGACGTGGTGTGTGGAGAAGGACAGGCCCCTGAGAATTCTGCTGAGGCCCCACCCAGGCCCAGCTCAGTCATGGCTGGGCGACTTCCCAGGCTGGGGGACATCCGAGCGCCTGCAGCCCCTCTCATCCCCCAGGCGGTCACCGAGCTCCCACACGGGGCCAGAAGGCCCCACCTGCCTGGACACAACCTGGGAAACTCAGGCCGAGGCTGGGACCCAGAGGACCACGGAGTTTGCTATGAGTTATGAGAAAGAAATGCGGCCAGAGAGCGCTTTGCAGACTCTCCAACCCAAGAGTGTCTGAGCTGAGGAGTTCTGACCTGAAACCTGATCCACAGCCCCGTCCACGGGGAGCGCGCACACACACACACACACACGTGCTCCCACACACACGGGTGAACTCGCACAAAGAGACGCTCGCACACAAAATCTGTCAGCTCCTCCCTAACAAAGAATCAGAGGCAAAACACAAACAGCACCGTGTTTGGCCTTTGAACAGCAGCAGCGGAAAGAATAAATAACCAAAAGGAAACTGGATGATGTCACCTCCACCCCGCCTGTGGCCCCCCGTAGGGGATCGTGCGCAGCCCCTCCGTGGCTGGGTGCCTGACAAGGAGAGAAGGACGGAGGAGAAAACTGCAGGCAGAGCCAAGACAGAGAAGGGAGAGCCGTGTTCGTGAACTTGAGGCCCGAAGGAAGGCCGTGTGTTTTTGAACATTTGTTTGTTTTGGTTTGGTTTTTGTGGTGGAAATCCCCCCTCCTCTGAAATATTGCCCAGAACCCAACATAAAAGGCAAAATGCACCTGCCTCCCATCCCCAAGGTCCTTGAGGCACCCCCATGGGGCTCTGAAGCCCCAGCTGGGACATGTGACACAGGGGATGGACACATGTCCCAGAGCCAGGCACAGCCTCACACGAGTTCAAATCCCACTTGCCAACGTCAGAACCTCTTTCGACTCCTTTCCTTTCTCAGTTCTCCTGAAAGACTGACGGTTCAGAGGGTCACATGAGGGCCCTGGTGGACACGCTCGGCAGAGGACCCCAGAGCCTGAGGGGGCCACCAGCACTGTGCAGCCGGCCCGGGTTGAGAGGTGTTCTAAGTACAAAACACACATCAGATCCCCAAGCCTCAGGAACAAAGACTGTCTCGTGAATAAGTTTTGTTTTGATGGCATGTTGACATAGTCTGGATATACGAGGTTAAATGAACTGTGTTATTAAAATTAATATCACCTGCCTCTTTTTACTTTTGCGTGCAGCTACTAGGAAATGTTACATTTCATACACAGTCGGTCTCACACCCCTACCGAACAGCACCGCACTAGAAGCGTGGCCACCAGTGCGCCCTTCGTCCCGCAGAGATGAGGCCGAAGGGGAGGGGGTCCCCGTTGTGTTTTGGTGGGTGATGGTAAAGAAGCAAGTCTGACATTGCCAGGACTCGGGGAAGGTAGACCAGCGACCTCAGCGGTGCCAAAAGCGAGCCCCAGAATCTAATTTGGAAAAGCACATTCCAGGGTTTTCTGGTTTATTTAGGTTGTAAATCGATCCGGGACAGCTAAAGGAGATTATGGCTGGGGAACCGGAGAGAGACCCCCCCGCCAGGTCGACCCAGGGCAACACCCAATTCGAATTCCAGATAAACAACAGTGTTTTTATGTAAGTGTATCCCCAGGGACCACTGTCCATTTTTAGTTACGAAACGTGACAACCCTAACTAGAATGAGAAAAAGCCTGCACCAGGGAAAGGAGATGCTGGGCTGACAAAGCAGCAATGGCCTTTTTAGGAACATAACTCTGGAGCCAAGTTTCTTGGGTGGAAATCCTAGGCTGGCCATTTAAATTGTGTGCCGCTGAGTCAATGACTTAACCGCCCTGCCCCCGTGACTTGGTCTCCACATCTGTAACATGGGTATAATCCTACAACTTACCATATTAGATTTAAATGAGTTACTGTTGCCTACTAGTCCACTTAGCTACCACAAGGTCGGTTTCCCCTTAGCTACTCAGCTGTGTTTTCTGCAGCTGCCCATTGGTTCTCTGCAGGGTCTTTGCACCCCCCCACCCCCGTCAGTCGTCAGTCCTGTCCCAGTCCTGTCCCCCTTTAGGTCCCTCCTGTGTTCTGGGGACAGTGGAAACCGCGGTAGACAGCACCACCTTGAGTCGAATTCCTCCCCTTTCGGAGGAAGCCCGCTTCTCCATTCTTTCCTATTCCCGGACCATTTCTGGGCAACGCGGCTATTTTCACTTGAGCTCAAGTTAAGGTCTCGGGAGATTCTCCAGCGCGTGGGAAGGTCCCGGACGCGCGGGCAGTTCACCCCGCGATCTAGCTGAGGGCCCTGCTTGAGCCCGCGACTCCCATGGCAAGCGTGTAGTTGGAGGTGAGCGCAGGTCTCCCAGCAAAGGCGGTCGGTGTTTTCAGACCCTGGCGAGCCCTCTGAAAGCAGATAAAAGAAAACATTTATTAACGTGTCTTTAAGAGGGGAGCCCCCAGCGGTGCTGTTTCAAGCCCTGCGGAACACTCGGCTCCCTCCAGCTCAGAGGGAGAAGAAAAAAAAAGCAGAAAAGAGGCAAGGATTCTCTTCGTTTACAGCCAAGTGGACCTGATCGATGGCCCTTCTGACTTTATTGCGATAATTGATTTATTAGCGATGCTTCCCACCCACACCCCTCGTTTGTGTGTTGCACACACACACACTCGCACGCAAGGCTCTGGCTCGCGTCCCTCCCTCATTTCCAGCTCCTGGGCGAATCTCACAGCAGTTTCAACTCTCCGCCAAAGGCGAGCGGGAGCGAGTGTGTTGGGTGAGTGTGCGTCTGTGTCCCGGCGAGGGTGCGCGCTCGGCGCCGGGAGCGCGGCCAGCCGGGTCCCGCGGCTTTGGGAGGCCGAAAGCTGTCGGGACCACAGTTCGCCGCTGCCCCGTCCGGAGCCAGACTTAGGGGCCAGGGCGGCGCTCAGGGGGCAGCAGGGCCGAACCCGGCGGACCGCACGTCCCACCTGCCAGAGGTAAAAGGCTCGTGCTCAGGGGACTTAGGAAGGGCGCCGCGGTGGGGTCCCTGGTCCCGGGCTCCGGCGGCTCGGAGTCTGGCACTCCCCGCCCCGGCGCGCGCTCGCCTCCCGCCCCCACGCCCCCCCCCGCGCGGAGGCAGGCAGGGGGGCGGGGGGCCGGGCCGCTCTGTGCCAAGGGGCTGGGTTGGGCAGCGCTGCCGCCCCGGACGATGTAAGACTGGCCCGGGCGGGGCGCGGACCCGGACTTTGGCGAGGGCGGCGCGCAGGGGCTGGGGCCGGGGGCGGTGGCGGCGGCGGCGGAGCCGCTGGGCGGAGGGACGGGCGGAGGCGGAGGGCGGGAGGAGGAGCAGCAGCAGCCGCCGCACTCGCGGAGGATGCAGCAGCGGCGGCGGCGGCAGCAGCCACAGCAGCGGCGCGGAGTCCCCTGCGCCCCGCGGCCCGGCCGGGCTGCGGCAGAGGCGGCGGCGCCCCGCGCCGGGTGAGGCCACCGAGACCGTGCGCACCGGTGAGTGGGGTGCGGGGGCCAGGTGGGCGGGGCAGGGGCTCCCCGCCGCCGGCGCCTGCTCCAGGGTGAGAGCGTCCGCGAGCACCGCCCAGGTGAGCCGGGGCTGCTTCCGACCGCGGGGTCGGGCCCCAGCTCGGCGTGCGGAGGTGGGACCCGGCGAGCGGGAGGGAGGCTCCGGCGCCAGTGGGCCCCGCGGGGGATGACCCGTTTGACCCCACTAGCGGACGGGGTACTTCCCACCTCACCCCTGACCAGAGGACGCGCCACGCGGAGCCCTGGAGGCCCCGGGAAAAGCGCGTCTGAGCCCGCCAGCCGCAGGGGGGATGGCCTCCCTGACCCCTTTAAGTTTAGACCCAACAAACCGATCAGAAGCCAGACCACGTGGGGCTTGTCCAGGCAGGACACGGGAAAGCGGTGGAGCGGAGCTTGGGAGTGACTGGGAACTCTCAGACGCCGAAAAGGCAAACAGGACTGAAAAGGCAAACTTCCTCGCCGGCTGGGTCAGAACCAGTTCTCAAAGCCTCAGAGAGGCATGCCCGGTTCCTGAGACTCCTGAGGGCTTTAGAAGTGTGGCTGCGATTGCTGGGAGTGCACTTTAAAAACAAACATTCTTTGTAGTAGTTCATTCATTCATTCTACAAGCATTAGTGGAACGCCTCGTGGTTCCAGGCACTGAGTTTTGTTCCAGGGAGACGTGAGGAGCAGAGCTGGTTCCCGAGCACCAAAAGCTGTCGGTCCACTTTGGGGGCAGCCTGGAGGAAAAATGCAGTCTTGGGTGGAAAAAGAGTAAGGAGACACCCACAAATATTAGTTTGGCACAGTGACATCTGTCTGAAATTCCCCACCTGCCTGAAGTCTGAAGGCCACACCCAGCCCCTGCACACAGTAGGTGCCTGCACACAGTATGACAGTGGAGACCTTCATTTTGACAATCCTCATCCTCCTTATCCCCCTTCTTGAAAGTTCTTACTTGTTCCCTGCCCCCTCTCCTCTCTGGCCAGTCATTCCTGCAGCTTGTTTTAATCACTTTTTGAGTTAAAAGTCAATATTTAATTAACCAAGTAATTACATTCAGCTTACGTTTGAATCTGGCATTTGCACATCTGTGCGTGTCAGGACACCCTCTCTCTCGCCCCTCCATCTGTCCCCTGCCTCTGTCCCACAGAGCCGTCCCCCTCCTTTGGGACAGAGACGGGAGGCTGCTCTGGAGCAGGTTCTCTGGGGGGGACCGAGAAGCAGGTGGGACGGGCTTTTTCTGGAGGACTCCGGGGCCTCTCCCCGGAGCAGGGAGACTTACTCTCGTCTCGTAGTTCATAATGAAGAGCTTGCTTGCTGCAACTCCGCTCCCCATTACAGAACCACTGGAGGGTTTTAATTAAGTTAGAGCCATTCATTACATATAGGAAGAGGGTGGGGAGGACAGGCTGAAGGCGGCTCACCTTGTAAGAGAGGCTCTGCAGCTCTGCTCGTCCCAGGTGGTGGAGAAGGAAAGCTCATCACAGCAGCCTGCCCTGGGGTGTAACCCAGTGCTCTGGTAAGCAGCTCCAAGGGCGGTGGTGGTGAGCTTGGCAGATGGCACATTGGACACTTGCACGTGAAGGACCTTCTTTTCTTAGGCCAAGTTTATGTGCATAAGTGCACGATGTTGGTCTAACTGCGAGGCTGAGGGTCAGTGTGGGTTTGGGCTCTGCACTTGGTGTATATTTATTGGGTTTTTAAATTTGAATTTATGGCTTTTTCTAAAACCCTAATAACATGTTAGGCTTTCAGACTTAAGGGTTGAACGATGAGTTGATTATTACAAAGCTGAGCTCGGAGGAAGGCAGGGTGGCTGCGTGTGAGACCGTACGTGTGCACATGCGTGTGCACACATACATGCATGTGTGGTCCCCATGCCACAGCTCCGTTCGGCTGCTCTCCGGGGACCTAGCTGGTGTGTGGTTGCACACCCTCGCATTTGAAGTGCACCTTTTGACTTGGGGATAGCGCTCCCCTCTTTCCCTACCCCCGATATGTTCCATTTATTTGTTTGGGCCTGCCTTGAGGGGTCAGCTTCCGGTCTGAACTCTATCAAGCCTGTTCTTAGCCTTCGCCCCCTTAGGAAGAGACCAAAGCCGTGTCCTGGCGGAGAACATCGGCTTGTCTGATCAGCTTGCAGTGAAAAGAAAGGGCTGAGTCCAGGCTTAAGGTGGTAGATGACACCGCGGGTTATGCCGTAGTGTGCTCTGAGCCCTCGGGCGTCCTAAATCGTTTAATCCACGCAAACCCCTGAGGAGCGGGTCCTTTGATTGTTGTGAAAGACGAGAAGACCGAGGCGCGGAGGAGACCGGGGGCCGGCAGACAGCTGCTCAGCGGTAGAGCCGGCCTGCGAGAGGCCCTGGCTCCAGAGTTCGCTCTGACCCGCCGCGCTCTCCGCCCTCCGTGACCTTGGCCTTTTTTCCAAATGTGGGAGAAACACATGTGCAGCAGAAGAAAACACATTTAAACAATAAAACTTTGAAAGGCAGAGGCCCTTCAGTAATCCCACGTCTCTCCCAAACCTCCACTGTTTGGGGGCATCTTGGGTTTGTGTTTCGTTGCAAAGCGGGGGGGGGGGGTGCAGGGACGGTGTGCCCTGAGGAAAATAGGCAAAGGGAAACAGCAAATGCGGCTGCCAGAACAAGGGCAGGAGGTCTGAGATGAAGGTTCATGTCCCCCCCCACAACACGTGTACAATGGCAAGAGGGTCATAATTCTCCGAGAGGTGCAGCCCTCTTGTGGCGGGTGAAGGAGTCGCATGGGCCTGCCCCTGGAGGGGTGGGGTGGGGCAGTCCGGGGCTCTTTGGGTCCAGACCCGGTCCTGTGCGCCCAGTGGACGTGGAAGGCGGAGCCTCCCCGGGCTGACCTGCAGGCCTCACCCGGCCTGCCTTCCCTGGGGGCGGGGCTCCCTGGTGATAGGGTCTGGTGGGAAACCTGCCGTGCCCCTGGTCCAGATTCAAGGCGCTATCTAATTGGAAGATCATTAAGATCATTATAATTAATTGGCATCCTGATAAATGGCCTGATGGCCTAATTGGGGTGGTTGCTAGGGAACTAGGCCTCACTTGGAGGCAAAAACGGAAGAGGCCGTGGGCTGGCCGCAGTCGGGCAGCAGGGCTCCCATCCAGCAGCTCGCGGGCAGGGAGCACAGGCTCTGCCCACATCTGCTGGCGTTTACTGAGCAGCTGCTGTGTGCAAGTCGCACATGGACATCCGCACATGGACATCCGTGGGGGGCATTTTCCTGTCGGGACTACAGAGTAATCAGGACCCTTTCGGCCATAAGCAGAGAAAGACAGAAAATTCCGACCGAGCATAAGGAGAAAAGAAGGGGACTTGTTGGCTTTCGTAACTAAAAATGCGAAGATCCAGCTTCAGGCACAGCTGGAGTTGGGCCTCAGATGCTGCCAGGAGAATCCGTCCCTCTCCCTCCAGGGGGCTGGTTCCTCTCTCTCCAGCTCTGAGAGGTGTGCAGGCCTGGGCCCGCGGTCAGGCCCAGACTGCCTGGCTGCCTGCCCGGCAGTGGGGTCTGGACAGTGTTACTGAGGCTTTCTGTGCCCCAGTGTTCTCATTGGCAAACGAGGGTGACCGTAGCACCTGTCTCCCGGTTCGTGGTAAAGGATGAAATGAGATCATCAGTGTCAAGGGCTCAGCCCTGCGTCTGACACAGGCCAGCCCTCAGTGAACGTTGGTTGTTACCATAATGGAGGTGTCCTCTCTGGTGTAAGTCCAGGGGAAAGAGCAAGACCCTTGTACTTCTGAGCCCTGAGCACCTCTCTGATTGGACGGTATTGTGTCATGTGCTCACTCCAAACCAATCACTGGCCGGGAAGACAAAGCCCCAACAATGAGCCTGGGCCAGGCTCCCAAAGCCCCATTCTGGAGCGGAGGGCAGACCGACTGGCCCCTGAAACCCTGTAGGGATCCCAGGGGAAGGGAGCCTGGTTGCTAGGGAGGCAGAGAGCCCATGCCTCCAGTGAGAGGGACACTAATGTGAGAGATGAGGGCGGATGGACCTGTCTCTGTTTGGTCGAGGTGGGGACCGTGGAAACAGCTGCTGGGGGTGCAGCTTCCCCACCCTCTTTCCACCGGGATCAGCAGGCATTGGAGGCCTGACGTTTCTGCCTTGGTCTCTGAAATAGGCAGGCTGGCCTTGATTCTGTACTTGCTGGTGGTGGCCAGGGGCAGTATTTGCCCAGCCTTCCACCATGGTGATCACCTGGTGGTGTTTGTTGAAAAAAAATGAAACCACCCAGTGCTGCTGAGTCCAACTCCCAGGGAGGGCCCTGGATGCTGGGGAGCGAGCCAGAATGCCGCGGTGTTTCATACCAGCAGCAAGGTCTGGGCAAGAGGACCCTGGAGTGTGCAAATTTCATCTTCCTCCCGGGGGCCGCCTGAAGGCAGGGCAAAGGCCGCAAATGAGATCAGAGACATAAAGGTGCTGGAGGACATGCCGGGCAGAATACGGCCGCATCCCTCTCCTTTGTCAGCACGCCCGGGTTTATTGAGCAGCTACTGTGTGCCAGGCCCTGTGCTCGGCATTGGGATGCCCAGGAGAGGACCTGCTGCTGTGGAACTTACACTCCAAAGCGGAGAAGCGGTTAATACACAAGCAAACAAGGCCACAGAGGAGGTTCTGTAGGAAAGTGACAAGTGCTACAGTGGGGAAAAAATATTGATCTGCTGGGAAATGACTGCCTAATGAGGGGGGGAATTGTGGCAGACGGTCAGGGGAGGCCTCTCGAGTGATAACCTGAATTTCAATGATGGGTCGGCCTTGGGAAGATCTGGAGGAAGAGCATTCCAGGTAGAGGGAACAGCCAGCGCAAAGCCCTGGGGGTGGAGAGGAGCGGCTTGTCCTGTTCAAACACATGTAGAAGTGCAGCGGGGTAAAGGGCAGTGAATAAGTGGGAAGGAGGGGTGGGGTCTGTGATGAGAAACACCAGCCATGGGGAGAAGCTCAGATTTTAGTTTAAATGACA